ACAAAGGTAGCTTGTTTAGGGAGGTGGGCGGAGTGGTGAAGACCGGGAAAGAGAGCAATGTCTATTATGCGCCAGGGGTGGGGCCGAGAGGGAGGGAGGAGGACGGGGAGGGATGGAGGGAAGATGGAAGTGGGGAAAGGGAGAGGAAGGTGGAGGGACGGGTGGAAGAGGACAAGGTGTTGGTTGAAAGGGAAGGGGGGAGGAAGGGGGGGGAGGAAGGCCAAAGGTCTGTTGCGGGGTCGGCATTGTCGGGAAGGAAAATGGAGAGCATGGAAGGGATCGCAGGATGTGATTGTGCCATCAAGATCTTCAAGACCACCCTGAACGAATTTTCAAATCGGGCTGCGTACATTGACGGCGATCCTCGCTTTGGGAAGTTGCGTTTCAACAAGGTTAGAAGAAAGGGGAGGAGGATGGGAGTTCAAGCAGAAGAAAGAGACATAAGGACGCATAATTCATGCCTCGCGACCTCCATATGTTAATGTCACGTATCCCCCTCCGCATTCCTTCCCCCTCTTGTCCCCTGACAGAAATCTACCCGGGCCAAGTTCCAACTATGGGCGGAGAAAGAGGCACGAAACCTGCTTCGGATGAGGAAAGCAGGGATTCCGTGCCCGGTCCCGCTCCTCCAAAAGGAGCACGTCTTGGTCATGTCCTTCTTGGGGGAGGACGGCTGGCCGTCGCCACAGCTCAGGGAGGTGAGGTTGTCTCCCTCTGCTGCCTCCAAAGGGAGAGGACGGGAAGGGGGGGAGGGCGGGGGAGCGCGACAGTGGTGGGAGAAATGTTACCGAAGTGTGCTGATGCTGGTCCGAGACCTGTACCAGAAAGCGGGCTTGGTGCATGGCGATTTGTCCGAGTACAACATCTTGTGGCATGCGAATCAGGTGCACCTGATTGACGTGGGGCAGGCCGTTCACAAAGGCCATGCTTGGGCGGATACGTTGTTGGCGCGGGATCTGAGACACGTGCATTCCTTTTTTAAAAGCAAGGGTGTGAAGGTTTTAGAGGAAGATGGACGAGAGGGGAAGGAGGGAAATGGCGTCAGGTTCGTGAAGATGGTGTACGTGGAGCCGGGCGTCAAGCCAAGAAGAATGGAGGGGAAAAGAGAGTGGAGGGAAGCCGAAGGTGGTTGGGGGAACGTTTCGGATGAGGAGATGGACATCGGAAAGGAATCGGAGGCCGCCGTAGAGATTCTCGAGCGACTGATCGACGGGAGTGAAACTTGGGAAGAGATTCTGAAGAGCGTGCGTGAGGTTTTCAGCGGTGCGGCGCAGCGGGAGGAAGAAGCAGAGGAAGATGAGCTTGAGCTTGATATCAATGAGGAGGAAGAAGGAGAATTAAATGGAAGAGAAGAGGGCGATGTGGAAGAAGAGGAGTGAGAAAAAGAAGAAAGAAATTATGTAAAGAGGGGATAATAAAAGAGGGATCACTGAACAATAAAAAAAGACAAGCGCATTTTGTTCATAATTCTTCCACGTACGCCTTCATTGGGTGGTACAATGGAAAAACTACACACCAAACATGGGAAAAGTGAATTAATTCATAACCCATACGACGCGATAACAAGATTTGTATAGCATGAAGTGGTCTTAACAAATCACACCACAACCTCCATAACTCCTACCAATGTGCTCATGAACGGCCCTTTAAATGGTTACGAAGCAGGCATAATTCATCTTGGCTATCCACGACGTTGTCTCAAAGTGTTGAACAGAGCTCGACCGGTCCATCTTGCTGTATTGGCTTTCAGAAAATCCGGCTCCCACACGTCATTTTTCCAGGGGTCTATAGCGCTAATTCGCTGTGGCCAAGGCCAAGACTGAGGGCAAACAGATAGCCACGCACGATCCATGTCAGAAAGAGAGGTTAGCACAAGGTCAAAGAAAGAGGCTTTAAAAAAGGATCGTTACAGTAGTCATGTGCATGCACGCATACCCGGAGGTGTCCCTCTGCGCAACGTGTTGGAAAGTTTACTATACCCCTCCTTTTCACCGTGGAATCATTTGCATTTCAGCTATAAATACATTTTTTTGTAAAAGAGGGAAAAAATCTTGGGACCCTTTTTACCTCGACATGTTTGGGGTGCTGTGACGACAGATTGAGCTCCCTTGCCTTCCTATTAATCATGAAAGCCTGGGAGCATTACCGCGTTTTACGAAGTAGCTATGTATTCTTTCCACATTTTTTTCTGGCGCTGCCAGAATTGTTTGACCTTCCTCACCTTCCTATAAGCTATGAAAGGGAGGAAACAGTACCGTGTTCTACGCAATAGCCTCCCTGAGTATCGTATCTCGACACGGGTGTCTAGTAGGACGATCAATCTCATGCGCGCTCATAAATTAAAACACACTCATGCGCATAATTTCAAGCACATATATAAGGAACTTGCTGAAGGCCACCTCTAACATGGATGAAGCCCGCAGGAAACGGGCCGCGGCTTTGGAAGAGAAAAAAAGAAAGTTGGAAGAAATGCGGCGGAAGCGGGCGGTGCGTGAGAATGAAGGGGAGGGCCTAGGAGAGGAACGTGGCTCAGCTGCAGCAGGAGACAGAGCTTTAACACGAGGGATAAAGAAGGAAAACGCTGAAAAAGGCGGCAACAGAAGGGACGACCAAGAACAATTGGATGCATTGATTGACTCGCTCTTGAATGTACCGGCGCCTTCAACCGAGAACGAGGGAGAGGATAAAATTGGGAAAAGAGAAATCCACGCCAGCGATAATTCCAATACCCAAAAAACAAGTGAAGCAGCGGCGCATGAGGCATCGCGCAAGGTAGGTCTGCGGGATGGTAACGCAGGTGTCGTTTAGTGGGCTGCCTGTCGGACTCGCCTCTGCCAGCTTCCTATGTTAATCGAAGTTTGGACGCATGTCATTCCCTTGACACAATTTCAAAGCTTAAAGATGGTGTTGTGGCGCAGGACCCAAACACAGTTTCAATATCTATTGCCCGCGGACTTGGTAAGGAAGAGACAGACGTGGAAGGAAAACGGCGAGCCTGGGGACCGGCCTGGCACCGCCCCCTGGCTGCCCTCTCACCTTACCTCTCTCGTTCATGCGTACAGGGAAAGTCGTGCTAATACCTGCACCGGCACCAGAGTGCTACCATAAAGGCAGCCAAACTGAGCCCCTATTCGACGAAGGAGGAGACGAAGAC